AAACCGCAAATTGTGAGCCGAATCAGCAAATTGAAAGCGGAATACGCTTGCTTTTGCGTAATCGAGTTACATTTGCGGATTGCGGAACAACTACCTATATTTTCTCGTTGAGGAATCCGCAACAAAATAAATATGCCGATAAAAATTACGTAACAGGTATTTGTATGCGGAATCCACTGGAAGTTTGTAAGTGGAATCCACTTGAAATTTGGAACATCTTCTAAAACTTGTTTTCGGAATCCAGGAACATACCTATACAAAAATGTGCGCCTATCCAGTACACAGTTTGGCCTCCTAATGTTCTTTTTAATTAAACGTGTCAGTCCGAACTTGCTGCAATTTTCTATAAGTTTATGCAGACTCCAATCGGACCGACGCTCATTCACAAACAGCCTAACATACAATTCAATACATGAAGTCTTTGGAAAAATTGCTGATTTTACAATTACCTTGGAAAAAAATGTAAGATAAACATTTTTACAGTTTTTTTTTTCAAAAAGTACATTAATATATTTTAAAACAACTCTCCAAACTTATGGCAGTTTTTGTTCTTTGAAAGCAACTTCAGCATAAAAAATGGATTAAAAATGCATATCAAAAAGTTTTTCTGCTTAAACATTGTGTGATATGCTCTCTTTACATGAAAAAATGGCTGTAAAAATTTCAATAATGAGCTTAAACTCCTTACTGTGATTTAATAAAAGAAAGAAATATTTTGTGTCTGTAATGAAATCCAGGCTGAAGTTTTTGCACAATAATTTAAAAAAGTTACCAGCAGGTGTTGTTTGTAATTAGTGTAATTTGTTTTTATATTACAGTTACAAAAAAGAGGCAACATATAAAAAAACAACTCTTTTCAACCTCGGAGTTTTTTTTTATTCAGTGAAAAACCTGTTGTTAGAAAATCATTGAGTAGTGTGTTTTTGAGACTCAAAAATCGAAATCAAAATATCCGATACTCTTTGTTTTCACTTTACTGCAGAAAATGCTGGATCAACTAACTTCACAGCCTGGGAAAAATTTTCATACAATTAAATAATATGAAAAGCTATGCTATGTTTATTAAAATTATAGCAAAAAGCAAGAGTATCGAAAAGTGTCATACTTATGATAAAGTTCCATTGTATAGAAAACCGCTTATTTTTCTCTTTTCGTACAGCTTTTCCGGTCTATGACATTGTACAAAATTACATCGGGCGCGGATCTAGGGCTGTCTTGAGAGGGGGGGGGGGGGGGGGGGGTGGAGGCTTTCCCAAATCACTATAAAGACCCTATAATGACTAAATTTTCTAAGGCGTTTTCATGCTTTTTTGGAAATTTTTGGCCAAAAAATTGCGTTTTTACGGCGCGCTCACCCCCCCCCCCCCCCCCTCAAAATTAGTATAGATTGACGCAAAACTTTTGTAGGTCAGTCATCCAAAACTGGATATCTCAAAATAGTACAAAGGGAGGACCTTTTGGGTCTGCAGGGGGTCGAATCCCTGAACGAGGAGGCCTCCTCCCACCCCTTTTCCCCTAAGTTCGCTACTGACTTATAATATAAGCATTTGTTTTCTATGCATTATTTGTCAATTCGGCGGACATCTCTTTTTTTGTCAAAACACCATGGGAATTATGTCAAGTTATCGTGTCGATCTGAATGTTTCGTTAAATCGATCGCCAAATCTTTCTCAATGCAGTCACTATAATTTTGCCCGTTTGCCGTGACATAATTTTCATCTGTAGTCAACGTTTGTAGGTTTTGTTTTTTGCTGTAAGTTGGTTTTTCTTAAGTAAATATTGTAGTGTTTTCTCTAGAACTTGGGTATTTGAATAATTCAGTGTTCAGAGGAGCTCACAGATTAATCAGTTTTTAGCATTGCCCGAAAAAGTATTAGTCTAATGGGAAGAGTGATTTGGAGCAGCACAAACTGCACTTCTGTTCTGCAATGTAATTCTTGGTTCTTGGCTCGTGTTCACGTGCGGAGTCGTATCACCGCGCTTAGAAGAATGCGAAACGATAAAATATGTTGCGCTAGTCGCATTTCTGCTTCGAGGTATAACTACTGAGCTGAGGCTCTGCCAAACTTGTGTTGAAACTTATTTTCAAATAATCTTCCAGCTAACCTTTTGTTCCGACTTTCAAAGAGAAAGACAGAATTTTTGTGCTTGGAGTTGTTTTTTTTAATCTTCCTGGCGATCTTTTGACTTTTTCTACCAATTGTTGGTGAAAATTTTTGATATCATTTGAAAAGTATTCTTGTCCGAGCTCAGTCATAAGGAGATATTTCAACTGTGATTGTTTTTCAGATAGTTTTACGGATTTAAAAGTTGTTAATTCGGCCAATTTCTTGCAATAAACGTTTAAGTGTCTTAATAATCGTTTCCAATAGAATTCAGGCGTGGTATTTGGTCTATTTAAAACTTTTTTCTATGCGAACTAAATCATCGCTCCTACTTTTCTGAATAGTGTTTTTTTCTTCAGGTTAATTTCGATTGTTTAACAAGCAGTTTTGGAAGATTTTTTTTTGATACCATCTGAAAAGTATTCTTTTCCCATGCTCTAATTTAAAATTATTCTATAATTGTGATCGTTCTTTGAAAAGTTAGGTATCTTCAAATTTTGTCATTTCAGCCAAATTGGAATAAAATAACGCGTAATATATTTCGCGCTATCAGTGCATAAGCGGAGATTTAATTCCTTGCCGAAACCGTTCCAAGTTGAATTGAGGCAATTATTTGATCTATTTAATACTTCGCTAGATTTTGTTTTTCATATAGTTAGTTTATATAGTTATGATCCTTTTAACATGATTTCATGTTGTTTGAAAGTTTCATCAAAACTTGTACGCAAACTAAAATATTTTGTCCTCAAAAGCAGTCGGGACATTTAGCCCTAGCCGATCAAGAGATTTTATATGACAAGATCTTGCCTTATTTTTGCAAATTATGGTTATCGTGCAAAATGGAGGTTATTTTGCAAAACTTCTGTCCTAAAACGAAACAAGACTATTCATATGAAGGCCTGAATGTTCCGACTGCCTTTTAAGGTTTATAGAGCAGTAATAACATTAAAAAACTAAATGAAAAATAAAAACAAAATGAATCTTTTTTCTAAAATTTGAAATATATATTTTATAAAAATCATACCCCCACTCGCCATATAAAGATTAAAAGGATAAATTTCGCTCATTGTATTAAATCAATTATGGCAAATAAACTTCTTTCAACCAATTTCGAACGGTTTCTAAGACGGATTAACTCTCCGCTTACGCGTTAATAGCAAAAAATTGCGCGTCATTGTCCCAAAGTGGCTAAATTGACAATTTTTAAACCCCTGTAACTTTACAAAAAATGATCACAGGTGAAATATCTTTTCAAATGTGATCTCAGGACAACAATAATTTTCGTATGATCTGGAAAAAACTTCGTCAAAAACGGTTAGCTAAAAAGTCGAATTTGTCTGAATAAAAAAAAACCCACCACGAGCACAAATATTCCGTTACCTTGGTATCGATTGTCGGATCAACAAAAAAAAAGAAATTAGGACCGTGATCAATACAAACTGTTTCTAAAACGTGGATGCAGTAATTTTTGAGTTGATTTAAAAAACAGATAAAACTTGTGTAAGCTGTTCATTGTTGTTTAAAGAGTCTAATAGATAATCATGCATCCTAGTTTTTCTCAGTGTGCAAAGATTTTTGCAAAAGAGTTTTGAAAAAAAAACGAAGCAATTAAGAAAAATTGTTAAGCAAATTTTTTTAAATGGTTTATATGTTCAGGTACAGAAAAGTAGAGTCATTAAGAGCCTACAATTTTAATCATCAAAATGAGTTATGCGGGCAAGTGGCGGCTCTAGATTGGAGAAAAAAAATATATTTTTTTTTTGAGATTTTCAAACCTCGAATCTCTTACAAAAAAATTAGTTCTCTTAAATGGACTCGAAAATTTGTTCAAATGAGAGCCGTCACTATTATCGTCGCTACCATCAAAGAAGAAATTAGAAGTATAAATGACAAAACATCAACAGAAAAATTAATAGGAAAAAGGAATTGTACAAAAAAACTGAGTTAAAAGCAACTTAATGTTAATATTATGCTTTATGTAATTATCTTTGCCATGATTTATGTCTGAAACTTTATGTTCTCATTTGATAAAATAAATTTTTCCTATTTTGAGAGACTTTGTGTAAGTTTTCGATCAATGTTTGGAGATAGTCACCTACCACAAAAAAATCAAAAAAGAAAGCTTTCTGAGGGCAACCGCTTAGCAGGCTGTTTATATGTACACGTTGCTATGATTGCTTCGTTCTTCCACGAACGCTATTTGGTTGCCTTCGCATGTAAAACTATTTTTGCGCAAAAATTTGTATCTTTAAAGATCTTTAAAAAATGTTATCTTTAAAGGATGTTATCTGGTAAGATTTTGCAAGCATCTTGCAAGATCTTTTAAGAGATGCATCCTCTTTGAACGAATCTTGCACGATCCTTGCCTTATCTTGCAAGATAACCTCCTTTCATCGCCTTGATACGTGCCTTCTTGTTTTGGTTTCTTTACAGAACGTCGGATGCTCACTATTTATGAAATCTGCTTAAAAATTGTGGAACGCAATAGCTGGTTGTGAAATTGACTTAAAATTCCTATTTATGGATTTCGCAAAAGTATTGCATACCGAAATATTGCACTACAAAGTTTTTGTTTCAAGCTGACAAGAACATTTGTTATTTGTTAGAATTGGCAGCAGTTTTTGACACGTTTTAAGTTCAGTTTTTGATTCCGCAAGCTCACCCATAAATTTACCAAACTACAGTTTGGCCCAACCATATGTTTTACCATTAAGGTCAGTGGTTTTGTATTTTACGTTTCTAGTGTTGACGATGATGTCTGTGAGAGTTCTTTTTTGGGCTGGAATGTCAAAATTAGTTAATTTTATATCTGATGATTTGCTTAATAGTTTCCGCTTTTAATTAAAATGTTACCGTGTCTGCATGATTTATTGATTTGCTTTGATATGTACTTACTGTTTGGGCGCCTGATTTCTCAATCCATCTGGCTTCTTTTTCTGCGATGGCCTGCTCTAACTGTCTCATTCTCTCCAACTTCTGAATCCGCTCTTTTTTCCGTATTTCTTTGATTCTTTTATTTTCTCTAATGGCTTTTTCATGTCGTCTCATATTTCTTTTGTTTGCCATCCTTATTTTGTTCATCTTTTTCCTAGTTTTTCTCATCATCTTTCGATGGTATTTTATTTTAGCTTCATTTATAGCACTGATTGTTTGCAAGTGGTTCACTCTTTCATTCTCTACAATTTGGTTTGCTCTCGCTTCTCGAATCTTTTCGACTTTCGCCCGCTCTGACCTTTCGATTCCTTTCAATCTGGCTTTCTCTAATCTTCTCATTTCTTTTTGTCTGGCTTCTTCTTCGCTCTTTTTCAGCGCTGCTTTCTGTATCTTTTTCAATTCTTCTAGAAGCGCTTTGTCTATCGCCCACTCTTCGTCATCCGAAGCTGTTTCGTTTACTTTTTTATCTTCATGACTTTTTTCATTACCTAGATCCAAAGCGTTTCTCTTTTCTTCTTCACTTTTTTTCTTTTCTAATTCGCTCCTTTTCATTGCTTTCTCTCCTATTTCTCTAGCTTTCTGGCTTCTCTTTTTTTCTTCTTCACTTCTTTTCTTTGCTTCCTCGCTTCTATTCATTGCTTTTTTGCTTTCAATTAAAAATTTTTTGCTTCTTTCCTTCTCATTTTCGCTTATTTGCTTTTCTTTCTTGCTTTTTTTCTTTTCTTCCTTGCTTCTCTCCTTTGCTTCTTTACTTTTTTCGATTAATTTTTCGCTTCTCTGATTTGCTTTCTGGTTTCTCTTTTTTCCTTCTTCGCCGCTCGTTTTTGCTTTCTGGCTTTTCCAATTTTCTTCGAGGCTTTTCTCTTTTGCTTCAACGCTCATCTTCATCGCTGTCTCGCTTCTTTTCTCTGCTTTCTTGCTTCTTTTCTTTGCTTCTTCGCTTCTCTTCTGTGCTTCCTCGCTTCTTTTTTTTTCTTCCTCGCTTCTTTTTTCTTCTTGTTCGCTTCTCTTCTTTGCTACATCGCTTATTTTCATTGCTTCCGCGCCAATTTTCTTTGCCTCCTCGCTTCTCTTATTTGCTTCCTCGCTTCGCATTTTTGCTTCTTCGCTTATCAAGTAATCTTTTGAACTTAGGTTCTCTTGCTCTTCACTTTTGTTCTTTTCTTGCGTCGATTTCTCGTTTTTATTCTTTTCTTCTTCGCTAAATTCTTCTGGCTTTCCGTCTTCAGCTAAAAATTCTTTGCTTTTCTGTTTTTCCTCTTCTTTTTTTCGTTTTTCTTCTTCAATATTTTTGTTCTCTTCTTCCTTCTTCATTGTTTTCTCGTTTCTCTTTTCTTCTCCACTTAGCTTTTTTGTTTCCCCGCTAATCTTCTTTGATTCATTTGTTCTTTTCTTTTCCTCTTCGCTCCCTTTCTTTTCTTCTTCGTTCTTCTTCTTCGCTTCTTTCTTTCTCTTCTTTTCTGCTTCAGTTCTTTTTTCTTCTTCGCGTCGTTTCTCAGCTTCATCGTATTCCTCCTTCACTTCTTCCTTTCTCTTCTTCTCTATTTCTTTTCTTTTATTTTCTTCCTCAAATCTTTTCTTTTCGTCCTCGCTTTTCTTCTTTACTTCTTCCTCTCTCTTCTTTTCTGCTTCCGTTCTTTTTTCTTCTTCGCGTCGTTTCTCAGCTTCATCGTTTTCTTCCTTCACTTCTTCCTTTCTCTTCTTTTCTATTTCTTTTCTTTTATTTTCTTCCTCAAACCTTTTCTTTTCTTCCTCGCTTTTCTTCTTTACTTCTTCCTCTTTCTTCTTTTCTGCTGCAGTTCTTTTTTCTTCTTCGCGTCGTTTCTCAGCTTCATCGTTTTCCTCCTTCACTTCTTCCTTTCTCTTCTTTTCTATTTCTTTTCTTTTATTTTCTTCCTCAAATCTTTTCTTTTCTTCCTCGCTTTTCTTCTTTACTTCTTCCTTTCTCTTCTTTTCTGCTTCAGTTTTTTTTTCTTCTTCGCGTCGTTTCTCAGCTTCATCGTTTTCCTCCTTCACTTCTTCCTTTCTCTTCTTTTCTATTTCTTTTCTTTTATTTTCTTCCTCAAACCTTTTCTTTTCTTCCTCGCTTTTCTTCTTTACTTCTTCCTTTTTCTTCTTTTCTATTTCTTTTCTTTTATTTTCTTCCTCAAATCTTTTCTTTTCTTCCTCGCGTTTCTTCTTTACTTCTTCCTCTTTCTTCTTTTCTTCTTTGTTCTTCTTCTTTGCATCTTCCTTATTCTTCTTTTCTGCTTCACTTCTTTGTTCTTCTTCGTCTCTTCTGTTCTTTGCTTCCTCGCTTTTCTTCTTTACTTCTTCCTCTCTCTTCTTTTCTGCTTCACTTAGCTTTTTTATTTCATTTTTTGTTTTCTTTTTCTCTTCGTTCCTCTTCCTTCCTTCCTCGTTCTTCTTCTTCGCTTCTTCCTTTCTCTTCTTTTCTGCTTCCTCATAAATCTTTTTTAATTCATTTTTTCTTTTCTTTTTCTCTTCGTTCCTCTTCCTTCCTTCCTCGTTCTTCTTCTTCGCTTCTTCCTTTCTCTTCTTTTCTGCTTCACTTATTTTCTTTTCTTCCTCGCTTCTCTTCTTTTCTTCTTCGCTTCTCTTTGCTGCTTCTGCTTTTGTTTTTGCTTCATCTGAACTATCTGTTTTCACGTTCAACTCGTTGCCATTTTTTCTTATCGATGTTTCTCCTTGTTTTTTATTCGCCACGCTTTCCTTTTGGCGATCGGTTGTTTTGTGTTGTGCCATTATCTCAGTCATTATGCTTTTTTCTTCGTTTGAGGTTTTTTCACCTAATTGTGTCCCTTCTTTTTCACCCAAACCATCTTCTGAACCCGCCATTGACTTTCCTTTTACTTCTTGCAAGGTTTTCTTCTCGTCATTGGTAAGCTCTTCGCATATCCATTTTTGATCTTTGCAGATAACATTATGCTTGAACCAATCGAACGAAATTGTTGGACTTCGATGGTCAAGGTACCGTACGTATATTATTCCACCGTCTGTTCTATCAACATTGTTTATCATTAGGAAGAATTCGGAAAATGGACTCTTTGGACCGTCCCACTGGATCTTTAATGGACCCTTTCCAAACCCAATCTCAACTATTAAGTTCATACAGAGTGCTGGAACGTGAAACGCCTGAAACAAAATAGGAAATATTCAGCGAACTGGAAATCATCAATTCTCTTTTAATGGTTTTTAAACAGAAATAAACCGGCAACAGTTTTGATTAAACCGCCATAAAAAGGTTAAACTATATTTCTGCATTGATGTATTTTTCATCATTTCTATGAACTATATGAACAAACTTTGTTCTTAAATTAGAGTTAAATTACGAGTATTGTAACGACTATTTTAGCTGATCCCCAGTTGAACAAAAATGCCAATCAAACATTTTTTATATATATAAAACTGCTAGTAGTCATACAATTTCCATGCAATTTCATGAGAACAGAAAATTGCATGAAAGGTCTATTATTCGTGATTTTTCATAGAGGGTAGTTGTATGACTAGCATTTTTTCCATCGACTTTGTGTACGGAATTGTATGATTCGCGTGTTAGGTCCATGGATGTTTATCTGAGCCAGGCTTGTTGTTAAAGTCGTATTTGACCTTGATGTAGTTGAGTTGTTTGTTTTGGGAGGAGTAGTCAGTCAGTTGGTCCATGTAGAGAAAGGGGGACACACCCTGGTCCTGGAGTCCGTGCTGCAGGTATCTCTTCACCTGTCCGATGCAACATCCACCTCCAAACAGATAGTGTTCTGATTTCAAATAGAAACAGAAACATGAATTATTTTATTGCATTCACAAAGTGTGACGCCGCCGCCACCACAAAAGAAATATGTTTTTATTCCTTTGCAAAAGGAAGGGAAATGCTATTGGAATAATTCGTATAACGTTTTAAGCATTGAGAAATAAAACGACTATTCTCGTTCAATGCGAATAATAACGATTCCTCTCGTAAAATACGAGCATACGAAACATTCTTCTCGTAAAATACGAATGCCCGAATAGAGAATACGAAGTTAAGAAGTAACTTCTCATTTGATACGAAAAGTGGTACGATTTCCCATCTGAGTATAAATAGAAGCTCAAAACTACGGGAATTCATTCCCAACTATTTCTCTTCTAACACCAACAACTCCCAACAATATCTCTTCTAACACCAACACCACTCTCTTCAACCACCCCAACCATTCTCTGAAATAATATCCATTCTCAGTAAAAATATTTCTAATCTCACCATTAAAATAAATATTGAGTCAAAAGGCAACTTGCTGTAAATTCATACTCTTTTCAACTTCTTTTCTAATAAAATTTTTCTCAGCGAATTTTAGATTTATCTTCTAAGTTAAAAAGTAGAAAGGACCCTTTATTCCTAGCAAGCGTTTTATTCGGCGCACATAGTGTTGCTAGCTCGGAATAAATTGGTGCGACCAGTGAGGCACACCTTCTCAAAATTCGCTAAAATTGCTAAAGTCTCAAAAAGAGATAAAAAGCAAAGATTCCAATTCTCAAACTGGAGAATTGTGAAATTTCTCTTAAAAATAAAGAGAAGTAATAAATTTCCAAATCAGAAATTTAAGTTTTCTAAGCAAATTTATAAACTTTTCTATCGTTCTTTTTAAGTTTTAAGCTAAATATAAAATGGCTGATACCCCAATATCCCGTCCCAACTTGTCTTTAATGACATTTTCGGGAAATGATCCGAACCAAAATGCTACAGCATTTTGGAAAACAGTTGAAAACAAAATTCGTTTCTCATTAGGTCAAAGACCTAATGATGGCGACGCACGACGCAGCTATGATAGCAGACAACGATCCCTATTCGGATCATTGTTAACTGATACATCTCTTGAACGGTTCAATGATAATGTAAACAATGCTACCACATGGGCACAACTCAAAGATCTCTTCCTAAATAGATTCACTGACGGACGAGATCAATTCAAACATAGAATTGATGTTGAAAATGCAGCTCGCCAAGATGGCGAATTAATAAAAAATTACTTCCACAGAATCAAATCTTCTGTAGATAGAGGATGGCCCGAAAATATTGATGAAGCAGTCCATGCTGATGAAGATGCTCAAAATGCTGAGAGAATTATACAAACCAGACAAAGAAGTCAAAAATATATTGATTTCTTAATTAAGGGACTAAGACATCTAACCCTTAAACAAAAAGCTCATGAATACATGATAGAGCATCCAAATGCCAATTGGGATCAATTCACAAATCATGTAATCACTAAGGATCTAGCATTCATTGTTGCTACTGATCCAGCTAATAAGTCAACAACGGATAAAATGACTTCATTAGAAACTAAAATTAAAGAACTAACCAAATTTATCAAGAATCAAAAAGTTAGTGCAATCAATGATCAGAATTCATTTCAACGACGTCACCCTGACATCAAGGGAAGACCTAATAGTACACAATTCTGCGAATATTGCAGAATCAATGGACATTCTATATCTAGATGTTCAAAAAAGCAAGTTTAGGACGAAATAAATAAGTTGCGAAAAGAGCTCACAACAAAAAATGAACGAAGAGTTTCATTTGAAACCGATTTAAAACAAAATCGAAGACCAAATAACTTCCCTAACCAGAATAACCCTAACCCAAGCAACCGGTTTTGGGATAACCAAAACAGGATTACTAACAATTCAAACACTAACCAAATTAACTATGGCATTCGCCATAATTATAACAACAACGGAAACAATTTCCAAAAGGCTAATGCACAATCGTCATTCAAATCCAAAAGTCCCCAAATCTATGACCATAGGTATCCCAGAGAAAACAATTTCAGAGAAAATGAACAAGTTGTTAAACAGTTCTACGACCAAGAAAATAGGCAATTCAATAGTAATCCTAGGGGTCGACCATATAACACTGGAAGCTATAATAGCAAAAACAGTCAAGACTCAACGCGATCTCAATTACCAAATTTTAGATCGAATCAGATACAGTCTGGAACCACCCACTGGGTTGAGGAAGAAGTCAATTACTGTGACGCAATCACTGATTTCTTTCCTTTAAACTATTAAAGTCTCCGAAACCAAGCGATGATAGTAATCCTAAATCAAGGATATATCTTAGCTTATATCATTTTGCCACCGGAGACAAAAATAATAATAGTGGACTCGAAATGGAATTCATGGTTGACCCAGGATCGACTTGTAGTATCATAAACTACCCAACTTTTCGCGAATTGGAAAAACTAGGTCAGAAAATGACAATATACCGATTCAAAATTAAAGCAAAGACTTATAATGGATCTGATATACGTATGTTTGGCCATACATCTATTCAATCTTCTTTCGACACTGATGGAAAGTATCCATCTTACCACAAAGTGTGGATAACTGAAGAAAAGACTGCTAATCTATTAGGAGTAGACTTTTGTCATCTCTTCTTAAAAGCTCTTTACTTTGATATCCCCGCAGTCGAGCTAAAATCAAAGGAGGTGTAATATCCTATTTATGAATAACGATTAAGAATATCCTAATGTTTCAAAAATTGTCTCAATTAACTTGTAAGAACCCCTGTTCATTCCAGCACGCTCTACATACTTATACAAACACTCGGCTGAACCAAATTCAAACTTCGAAAAAGGGACTACTTTTCTGCCTCATAAAAATACAACCAAAATCGAATTGGCTTTCATAAATACAGTTTGTACTCAAATTGAACAGATCCTACCTATCCTAATTGATAATCAGAAAGATCATCCCGTCACACTAAACAAGTGTGTACTAGGTTATGCATTAACTGATATTAAAGGATACGAGGATAAAATATTTGCTATCCACGATTGTGATGAGTTCACAACGAGAATTTTAAACGAAGGCTCGGAATTCGATAGCTTTTTCATGCTGAATACCGTTATCAATACTACAAAGGAAAGCAATACCCAATTATCCGGCCCCTGTCTACAATATGTAGACTTCAAGAAAAAATCCATATTTGAATCGAATATGCCCATTGCCCATACAATCTCTGCAGTTAGAGCAATGAAAAAAGGGTTTGCTGAATCAATTTGCAAAGGTATCCTGAGTTACGACACTTTTGTAATTCAATACATGCTAACATTAACGATATTCTCATCTTCACTGATCCAAAATCTGGACAAATCATATATAACCTCATTACCAAACAGAGGTACTTTCAAAAACCAACTTAAGACGCTATATTTAACAACTTGTCCGAAATGAAATATCATGCTCTAGCAAATAACATTCGATCTGTCGCAATGCCCAAAATCGCTTGTGGCTTAGATAAAATGAATTGGGAAGAAGTTTACAAAATCATTGTCGATGTATTCCAACATTCTGGAATTACTATATTTGTCTATGTTTCAGGACAAGAAATCAAGGACATGCCTGCCCTTGAAGTGTTTGATACAGAAATTGTATCAGAAATATTTGAACAAATTGTTTCAGATATAGTCAAAGTATGCAAAAATGAAAAAGAAATAGCAACCGACTTTTCTAATGATGCAAAGAACCTTTGCAGGCCTCCCCTGAAAGAACAATTTAAAAATTACCGAAACAAAGAACAATATGATCGGCTAATTGCCTTTCTAGTCAACAAAACGTTTATCCAATACTCCTCAATTGATAAAGACAATAGTAGTACTTTGAAAAGAAATTGAAACTACTATTAAATTCTTATCTGACTTCGATTTCTCACAAAGTGATATATCGGATGATGAGTTTGCAGATCTAATTCAAATGTTGATAGAGGATCAAGATGTTTATTCTTATCACAAATATGATATTGGAAAAACAAAACATAAATTCCATATACCACTCAAAAAGGACGCAACATTCAAAAAGCAACGACCTAGTAAAATCCCAGTCCATCTAAGGTATAGATTGGACAAATTAAAGGATGAACTAATCCAAGCAGGCATAGTCAGAGAACTAAATGAAAAAAATGATATGAACTCATGGTTCGTAAACCCAGTCATCATTCTTCCAAAAAAAGACTATGTTAAGTTGGTCTTGGATGCTAGGTATCTAAACTCAATCACAGATAATAGCAATTGTAGTTGGCCATTAGAACCACTACAAGTTCTCATGACCAGAATAAACGGATCATACTTCACAAGTGGTGATCTCTCTTGCGCCTACCATCAAGTACCTCTAAGAGATGAGGCCCAGAAAATAACAAGCTTTATCGTAGGTGGTAGACAATATACCTACCAAGTTGGTTTCTATGGCTTGAAGCCCCTACCAAATTTTTTCAGTAAATTAATGAGATATGCCTTCGGACCCTCATTAAAGAAAAAAAAGCAATTATTTACATAGACGACACTCTGTTACAGAGTCAAAATAAAAATGAAATGTTTGACACAATTCGAGAATATCATTCTCTTCTACGGAAAGCTAACTTAAAAGCTGCCCCTGACAAAACTTTTTTCTTCCTAAGAAAAGTTAAATTTCTAGGCCATGTTGTCTCTAAAGATGGTCTTTCCCCAATTGCTTCAAGAATTGATGATATAAAGAAAATGAAATCCCCTGAATCAAAAACAGAAGTTCTAGGAGTATTAGGTGTCATGGGATTCTACAGCACATACATCATCAATTTTCACATAGACGCAAAGTGTCTATATGAACTGGTAAACAGTAACGATAAGTTTTAATGGCTACCATGCCATGAAGAGGTTTTTCAACAACTGAAAAACAAATTCTGTCATGATATTTCAAATGCCATACCTAATGTATACTACCCATTCCACATTCATGCCGACTC